CAGACGGCGAGTCGCTTTCGGCCGCAATCAGGTGCTGCTCTCTCTGCAAAAGGTGCCGGGTCCTCAGGATGTCACGCTCCTGCGGGACGGTGAAATCCGCCAAGGGGTCTGGGATGCCCAGACTCGCGGCTTCCGCGTCCTCCTTGGCCCATTTGGACCTCTTTCCGCCGTAACCACGGCTTTCGAGGTGGTGGCTCCCAATGTTCCTCTTTTGAAGCCCCTTCATGTACTTAGACTTTTTTTGGCAGCTTCGGCCTCGCAAGCCTCCTTGAATATTTGAAACTGCTCTTCCATGATTGTCGGATTATCCTTTACAATCTCGGAGTAGGGTTCATTGTCGTTGATCTTTGCTTTCACTCGATTTTTCCAGGCGGCCAACGCGTCGCTAAACTTGGTCATGGCATGTTTGTTTATCTTCTTCATTGCCGGGTCCTCGTCTGGATCTTCATAATCCTTCTCATTCCGGCCCGGGAACAAGAATATATGGTGAAACTTCTTTAGGAGGGAGCTCCTCATATTTTCTATCTTCTGTAGTTTCTCATCGTTGATGGTGGCGGTTGTCCGTACGATGCAACCTATTTGATTGCCGTAGCACGCGCGCGCTTCCTCGGGCGCCTTTGGCTCAAAATTGCCGTCGTCCACCTCCGTGACCACCAGTCTAGTAGTCCTGAGTTTGTTAGGAACCCGTTGCCTCTTTGCTTTCGGTTCTACACCGGCTCCGCTCCCCGAGGCAGCACCGGTCCCAGCGCCGGTCTCGATGCCGGTCTGAATCTCAGCGCCGGTCTCAGTCTCAGCACCGGTCTGCGTGTCAGTCTCAGTCCCCGATGCCACCGGTGGGCCCAGCAACAACATCGGTTGATCGTCGCTAAGGCTAAAAAATTCGTCTGCCGCCCGGTAGACGTCGCCGCAATCACCAGAACCCTGTCCTTCATCGTTGCTAGCCATGTTTCCTATGATTAAATCTAGTCAATTAATTCTAGACCTAATAAAATGAATAATGACATAAAAAAGGACTATTGTTTTGCAGGAATGTTGACTCCTTCCTGGTGCGGCAAATCCCGGGCACTCGATATGTCCTAGTTTGTAGCACAAGTCATGCCGAAATTCACGGAAAATTTCGGCATGACCTTTGCTAAAAAGTGGACAAATCGAGAACCTGAAATTTACCGGAATAGAAATGAATCAACATTCCGGCAAAACATAGGCCACTCAGCATCATTCCCTGGAAACAACAAAGCCACTTGGGCACAATCGAACAACTTCAATGAAAAGATATAACATGAGCAAACACTATTGAGGAATTTGCATATAACATGGCCACTTCAATGAAAAGATATAATCAACAATAATGGAATATGCAAATGAACATCAATGACACATATCATATAAAAACAATCTTGTTTTTTGTTTACATAGCAACAATTAGTTTGACCAAGTTTTTGAAAATAAAAACAATTCTGTTTTTTGTTTGTAGCTAAATGCCATAGCTACTATTTTTTATTTATAGCTAAATACTTTAGTTTTTTGTCTAAAGCTAAAAGTCTAGGAACTACATTTTCTCTAACCCTTTTGACCTCACCAAAATTTCCACAGCAAGACCTTATTACCTACACCCAATTTCTTCAAAAATATTCAGGTCCATAGTCCAAATAATTTAAATTTCATTTGAATGAAATTTGGAACAAATTCAGGTCCGTAGTCAAAATATTTTTTTATAGCTAAGTAATTTTTGTTTATACCCTCTGTTAATTTAAATCTAAATGCTACTATTATTTATATACCCTCTATTAGTTTAAAGCTAAATGGAATTACTGTTTAGGAATTTTCATAAAATTGCCCTAGCTAATTTCCTAAAAAAATTGCTAATCATTTTTCCTAAATGCTATAAAATGCCTACTGCCCAAAAAAATCTAGGGTTCATATGAACACCTAGGGTTCATATGAACATCAACACAGTATCAACATATATGTAATTGCCCTAGCAGAGAGAAATAGGAGGGTAGGGGACATGAGAGGCATAGCCTTACGGTCGGCGGTGAGGGCAGGCTCTGGCTCGGGCAGCGGCGGTGAGGTCGAGGGCGGCGGCGGTGAGCTCAAGGGAGGCGACAGTGAGGTCGACGACGGCCTCGGGCGGCGGCTGTGAGGTCGAGGGGGCGGCCTCGGGCGGCGGCGGTGTGGTCGAAGGCGGCGGGCGGCGGTGGTGTGGTCGAAGGCGGCCTCGGGCGGTTGTGGTGTGGTCGAAGGCGGCAGGGCAACGGCGGCGATGGAGCAGTTGGGGGACAGGGGGGACTAGAGAGGGGGAGGGGGGGAGGACTTAGTGAAATTTTGAGCCCAGGCTGCCGGGATTTGAGTCAAACTAGCAGTAGCGCGTTTTGCCGAAACGCGCTATAGCTAAGATAGCTATAGCGTGTTCCAGAGAAACGCGCTACAGCTATCCCTTTCTGTTTTCTTTTGTTTTCTTTACATTTTCTTTTTTTTCATTTCTCCTTTTTCTATTTCTTTCATTTTCATTTACTTTTCTACTTATTTTTCTATTTATTTTCTTTTACATAGCAGTAGCGCTCTACAGCAGAAACGCGCTGCTACAATGTTTTTAGCAGTAGCGTGCTTCTGGGAGAACCGCTACTACTATTCCTAGCCTACCGGCACTAGTGAGAGAATTTTAGTAGTAGCGCTTTTCTGTGAAGACGCGCTATTGCTAAAATAATGGTTGTAGCGTGGTTTTGCAACAAGCGCTACTACTAAGTAGCGCTAGCGCCGAGTTTTGACCAACGCTACTGCTATACCTCCGTGTATAGCGTTTTCCCTAGTAGTGCCTAGGGTGCAGAATAAATTATTCTTCACCCGAGGTAATATTACGATCATTTCATAAATAAATTATGTTTCAAATACAAATAGTTACGGTCATATTGATTCATTGCGTAAAATTTGGCATAAAAAAGGTCAGAAGACCAGAAAAAATACATTTTATGTACATTTTACACTATGTTTTTACATCTGTAATTTACATAACATAAAATATTTTTTACGGCGATTATATATTTTCTTACGGTCTCTTTTTATGTCTGGAATAAGACAAAATTTAAGGAACGTAAAATTACGGTGCATTGATGTTAAAATAGAGGGGGGTGAAGAATAACTATTCCTCACCCAGGGTGACGAATAGCGCGACCCAAACACACTATTCATTACCTAGGGTGTAGAATAAGTTATTTTTCACCTGAGGTAATCTTACGATCGCTTCCTAAATAAATGACATTTACAATATAAATAGTTACATGCATATTGGTTCAATATGTAAAATTTGGTATAAAAAACAAAAATATATGTTATAAGACCAGAAAAATAACATTTTATGTATGTTTTACACTATGTTTTTACATTCATAATTTTACGTTACATAAAATATTTTGTACGGTGAGTACATATTTTCTTACTTTTATTGGTATGAAATAAGACAAAATTTATAAAACGTAAAAATACGGTGCATTGATGTCAAAATCGAGAGGGGGTGAAGAATAACTATTCCTCACCCAGGGTGACGAATAGCTCGACCCTAGGGATTGACTATTCATCACCCCGGGTGCAGAATAAGTTATTTTTCATCCGAGGTAGTCTTACGATCGATTCCTAAATGAATTACGTTTAGAACATAAATAGTTACATGCATGTTGATTCAATATGTAAAATTTGGTATAAAAACAAAAATATAGGTTATAAGACCAGAAAAATCACATTTTATGTATGTTTTACATTATGTTTTTACATTCGTAATTTTAGTAACATAAAATATTTTTTACAACGAGTACATATTTTCTTATGTTCTCTTTTTATGTATAAAATAAGACAAAATTTACGAAACGTAAAAATACGGTGCATTGATGTCAAAATCGGGAGGGGTGAAGAATAGTTATTCCTCACCTAGCGTGACGAATAGCACGACCATATTAGCGTAAACTATGTTTGAAATGAAAAAGAATTAAATGGAAAACACACAAAAAAAAACCATAAACCATAAACCCCTAAACCTTTTAGTCCCGGTTGGTGTCACCAACCGGGACTAAAGGACCCTCAGCCCCCGGCACGGGCTCGTGCCAAGTGGTGGGCCTTCGG